GTGTGGGGGTCTTGCTGCCCTCCCTCATGCAGAGCTTGGGATGGCACTGGGTGCTCAAGGAAGAGCTGAGGGAGCCAGGAAGCGAAGGGGGAAAACACTGAACACCATTCTGATTCAACAGAGAGGAGATCTGCAGATTGCCCTTCCCATCCCATTAATCTCATCAGTGTCGGATAACAAAGGGCTTTGGGGCACAGCTCAGAGGGGCTGGTGAGGGCGAGGGACCCGCTCCAGCATCCTTGGATTTCTGAGGCTGGTTTTCCTCCCCATTCCCACCAAATGGCAGCACCTTTGCCGTATGTGAACCACTCATTACTGCAAAGTCAACAGAAAGAGGCCAAACTGGGAGTTCCCAAGCTCTCAGGTGGGGCTGAAACCTCTGGCATGTTCCCACCTCTCCTTGTAAGGCACTGGAAGGTCCATGGGATATAACAGCATATGAAACCCCCAGGGAGAAAGAACAATATTGTCTTGTCCTTTTTAAAAACTGTGATTGAATTAATAAGCAGGAGCTCAAACCCAGCCCATGAAACAAAAAAACCCAAACAACCAAAAAATCCCAAACCCAATCCCCCAAAAAACCCAGAAAATCCAAGTAAACAACCATAACTGTGTAACTGTGATGAGCTGAAAACTCTGAGTTTGTTGGATTTCCTCCAAAATCACCAGCACTGGCCGTGTTCATGCACGACAGAAATCCTACAGCCTAGACAAATACGTGATTAGATTTATGGGAATGTGCATTCAGAGTAGGTAAAATGTACTTTTAGGCAGATGTAAAGTCAAATCAATTGTCATTTAAGTATTAATTTTATTCACCCAGCAGACAGTCATGTTTTCGTTATATAAATATATATATATATCTAGGCACTTCAAATGTGAATATTTGACACAAGCCTGTTGACAACTAGACAGAGCCATTCCAATGTATCGGGAGATCCACGGGAACCTTCCATGTGGGTCAGACAGTGGACCCCTGATGAATCTGAGTCAGTGGTTTATCCACCCAAGAAAATGTGACCAAACCTGTACCTCTCTTGCAGTTGCACCCCCCCAGTTGGGCTGTTGGACAAAATCTCCCCGCTCCAGTTGGTGTCCAACCGGAGTAAGGAAGGGATTCCAATAAAGCATCCGTTAAACAAAATGTAGTTTTAATGATCACTCCCCAAACACCCAAAGGCACCAGTCAACCCCGTGGACTAATCACCCACAAACTGGTGGGATTCACACACGTTTTTAGCGTTACAACATTTTTTCAACAGCTTCAGGTGGTACATTGAGTGAAATATTTCAGCTGCAATAGCTTTGTCCTGGACACCCTTCCATTCGATTGTTTAACAGAAGTATCAACCCAAGACTGAGCTGTGAGAATCGTGCTGACCTGCCCAACTCTCTTTGCTGCCCTTTCTCCAGGTACTTCTGCAAATCATATTGAGCCCACATCTGTGTAATTCCCAATTTATATTCTGTAACTCCTCAAATCACCCACGGATCCCCAGGAGAGGGAACACCTCGACTCAGGACAACTTTACATTCCTTTCACCCATTGCAAAGACCTTTGTGACATGTCGAGTATAAAGCTCACAAAATACATTTTAAAGGAACTACCATAAAGTATTTGCTTCAAATAGACCTTTTACAACATAACACAAAATTCAAATGACATTTTTTTAGGAAAGCACTTGAAACTGTAACACTTAGGTCCTGACAACATTCTATTATTTTAAGCCGTAAACCTTAAGTTTTATGTGATTAAATAAAATCAGCATTACAATTTCCAGGTATAATAATCATTGAACAGATTGTAACAACGAGATATAATAATGCAAACATGAAGCTGAGGAGACTGGGACTGAGAAAACTCTCAATTCTTTGTAGATTTATATCTGCACGTGGTAAAATCAGTAACAACTGGAGAAGAGGTTCCAATATTCCAATATTTCATCTCACACACTGATATCAATGTTTTGCAGGCAGCAGTCAATTCATCGTCCCCTTTTTGAAATTACTTTACAGAGTCACTATGACCTGGAAAAAAAGTCTCCAGGTCAAATACTGCTTCCAGTGTCAATATAACATCTGGAAGGAAATAATTAAAACCATCAGGTTTTGGTAATTGCCCTGTGGGTGTAGAAACACGAGATTTCATATATGTAAGGATAAATAAATGACATATAAATGCTTACATATACAAAATCCTAAACCTCACTTAACCTTCAGAACTGAACTACCTCTAGGTATGAAATATAAGACCTTTTTTCAATAATTTAAAGGGTTTATTGATACCTGAGAGATTTTTGCATATTGATGTCATTGTACCTTTACCTGTAGGTCCTCACCTAAGTCCTTTGCTCTTTTCTGGGGTGCAAAGCCCATTGTAGTTTGGTGGATTCTTCCCACCAACTTCATGGACTTTGGCTGAGCCCTTCCTTACCTGCATGTATAAACAGAGACCAAACAGAATTCAATATACATTTAAATAAACAGTTGCTGTACAAGTGGACAGGCTGGTTTACACAAATCCAGAGTGATTTCACCATTCCTGATAGTTTTCACAACATCTGATTCAAAAGTGTTTCTACCTGTTGGTTAAAACCAACTTTTTGAAGTATTTCTCAGGGTAATGGATCAGACGTTTAAAATGCTCCTTCCTGCCTGACCTGCTTCCTGCTTCTTGAGATCAACCCATTTCTCCACCCACTGACCGCGGAAACCAGGAGTGGAGGAGTAATGAGTTGATGTGCTACATTGCATTAGGGTCACAGGCCAGTGCAGATGGACTGAGATTTTCCAATCAATTCAGGGAGTTTAGGAGCCCCATTCCTCCTGAAACTCAAGGTGTTTGGATGCCTGACTCCCACAGATTCCCCAGTCCAGCTCTTGGCTCCTCCTCCCTGCAGGTCACACGAGTGTTGGAGCACAAGCATGAGCAGGGGCACGACCTATGTAAGGCTCTGACAGAATTTTTCACAGTGTTATTTAATTTGGCAAATACCAAACTACATGTAAAGGTTCCCTTTATCATCCAAACAGTTCAATTAAGAAGTAAAATGAAACCACCATTTTCACTCCATTTTGCTCCTGATGGGGAATTCCCTAGAAGTGCTTTCATGAAAATATGGTGTTATCACAGCTGATAACAGAGCAATTAGGATTGATGATTTTATTAAATAGACTTTAGCCAATGGAAGGATATTTGTGGAAGTGGAACCAAGTGTGCTTTTAGACACAAAATTCGACATAGCTGAAAAATCAGCAAAAGTAACAGTACTATACTCATGAGAGGCATCACAAAATGAATCAGCATCATTGGCAAACCCTTCTTATGTTGCAGAAACATCATTTTTTGCACTATATTTTACAGAAAACAGTTGCCTGTAGTGATGGTGGTCAGCAAAGTTGCCTTTGAACAGTTCTTTGTTCAACTGTACAGGAATATCGGGGGAAAAGGGAAGCTACATTTCACTGGCTGTAGGACTTCATAGAAATTTTAGAAATGTTTGATTTAAAATAGCACATTTATGTAGCATATTTATGTGTAAAATCAATCAAGCACTTGTGCCCAAGTAGAATAAACTTCCAAGACCTGACACTGTTGTAAATCAATGAAATGCAGCCACTGCTTTTGCACAGGAGGAGGACTGAGGATGGTACAGGACCAGCAAGGGACTCAATAGAACGACACAGCGACACGTTAAGCATTGATGTTAAGAAACTCTACAGCTTTGCATTTCCAGTTGGCTGTTTCAATTTTATATCCACACCAATTCTAAATCTCCTTTTCATCCCATTCCTTGTCTCATGTTTAGTTTTGGTGACACCACCTTAGGTCCACCTGTCCCAAACCTGCAAAGAGTTCCCACCTCTCCGACCTTCTCTGCCACAAACACTTTGCAACCCAGGAGCGTGTTTCCCTTTCTCTAACTCAGGAGCTCTCCGGCACCATTTCCAACACTATCACAACCTTCATGGAGCAACTGGCACAGGGAGGCACTTATGTGACATGTTTAAAACTTATCTTTGGTAAACACTCACACACACACACACACAAAAACTCGGAACTAATGTTTGGCTTCCTGATCGTTAAATCCTCACTTGCTACTGGTGTGTGTGTGCAGGAATCTAAGCACACACAGGATGTTGCTAATATAAAATATTTTTTTCAAATGCCACTGCCAAGGATTTGTTTTAATTCCCCTAAAAATAACGCAGTCCTGGGCTTTTTGGTTTTTTCCTGACTCTGTTTGTTGCGCATTAAAGCAGCTCAGATCGATAACAAATTAGCAACAGAGAGCGAGCCCTGTGTGCTCAATTTTCACCTTCTCTCTCATTCTGTTGCCTTGGTTTTCAAGACCATTTAATGAGAATAGTTGTATCTCTTACAACTTTCATTATCTGAGAGGCAGATCCTGGGGTCTGATGCTGCATGACTTGAGCAGCCAAATCTGTCACTCGCATCAGTGGAAATTTTGGACACACGAGGTGCTGAGGCTGCTCTTGGTGGGGGTGTTTCCTCCTCCCCAGTACTAACCAGTACTCTGGGGAGGAGAGGGACCTCTCTGATTGCACCTGAGGGATGATCAGACTGTGAAGCAGAGCCCACACCACCAAGAGATGACCCATCAATGTGTATTTTCAAAGGTGCTGCAAATAAATGTTGCTGGAACCACATGGATATAACGGAGAGATGATCTAACACTTCTAACATCAGGCATTTCTACTGAGAGGTATTTCATTGGCTTCATTTTTCATTTATACTATTTAAATTTTGCTTCAGATTTTTATTTTTTTAGAACCCAGAACTTAGTGCATTTCATTTTAAAAAATTAGAATCATTTATACCCTTCTCTTTTCATTGCAAAAAAATACAGCCCAAGGTATAAACACTTCACGAATGATGGACGCTTCACTTATTTCACGACGTGCTGAACGGTGATTTAGACATTGATCAACCAAAGAACTTTGGCAACTTGCACAAAAATATGTCCTTAACTCAGAAGTGCTGATAAAACTCGCTTTAATGAGGCCTTTATTAAGAACTGGGAAGAGGGAGGAGTGTAAGTGGGTGCTGCGGAGGTCGGCGTGTTCCTAAACCATCCCGCTCTGGATCTGTATGTGGAATGGGTAGGGCTGGTAGAACACGGGGGGCTGTCCATGAGCAATGTAGTAGTTGCTGAAGTTTCTGTCACTGATATATGGAGCAGGCTGGTAATAGCACGTCACGTTGGCCGCGTTGGGGATGATGTTCTGCTCTCCCAGTACTTTCAAGGCCAGGATTGTGATCATGTTCAGAGTCTGCCGCCGCTCGTGCCCCATGAGGCAGACTGTGCTCTTGTTCACCACCCCCCGCAGGGTCATCAGGTAGTCGTACTTGCTCTTCTCCTCCCCGATGAAGTGGTTGCGCAGATAGGACTCGATTTTCCTTTGCTGCTCGGCAACATCTGGAAAATCAATGAAGAACCTGGAGCACATGTAACGTTCCAGAGATTTAATTTCAGCCTCATCTGCCGGCTTAAAGTCACGGACCAGGAGGTTGCTGTACTTCAGGAGGCCACCTCCTCTGATCTCCTCGGGGTTCCTGGTGGAGATCAGTTTGTATTTCAGGTGGTCCATGGCCTCGTTGAAGTCCCCGTACATGCTCTCGGCGATGACGGTGGGGTGACAGTCCTCTGCCAGCGGGCAGTCCGAGGCTCTGTACACCGCCAGGATGGAGTCCAGGATGATCTGGAAGGAGTCCACGCTGAACTCGAACTGCCGCCGGAGGGAGCTGACAAACTTCAACTCCACGTTCTTGCCGCTGTTGTTGGACAGCGAGATGAGACTCCAGCGGTCGTGGTCGGTGGAGACTTTGACCATCTTCTGCACATACACATCTTTCATGGTCTGAGCCGTGATTTTTTGCTTATTAACACATTTTGGCAAGAGGTCCAATAGGCAGTTAAGGACTGCTTCCTTAACAATCTGGAACTCCAACTCACTGGGAAGTTCCACCCCAAAAATGATGTCTAGGTCCTTGTAGCTGGTTCCGTTCTGCTTGACCAGGATGTGACTGGCTGTGGAGCCGTTCAGGCGGATGTCTCTGACGTGGATCTGCTTCTCAATGAGCTGGTCCTTCACCATATGAATGATATCCTTCGGCTTTACATCCAGGGTTGGAAAGTTTCCTCTCCCATGGATAGGTATGGGCTCAGCTAAAACCTGATCCAGGATTTTAATCTGATCCCAGGTGAGACAACTGAATCTGTGATCTAAGTCCTCCTCAGTCATTTTGATGTCAGTGAGCTAAACAGGGACAAAGAAAAATTAGGGACAAATGTTAGAACTTCCTGAAATACCAGAGAGACAGACATTTCACTTGCTTGTACTAAACTTGTCTCTTCCTTCCTTGGCAGGAACTGCAAAGCCAGTTCATTTTCCAGTGACACAATCCCAGTTAATAGTCTGAGTCAACCACTGCACTTGTCGCAGTCTTTTAATTGAATTTTAATGCACCCAGGTTTTAATCCTGCTGAGAAGCCATCACGTTATTGTATAACCCATGACTCAAAGCAAATGCAGCAAACATCCAGACCCAACAGAAAACTACTCAAAGGTTAATAACACCAAATACTTGGTGGTTCTAATGAAACTCCAAATAAATTTCACCGTGAAGAGCTAAAATGAGCAAATTTATTCTTTCTGTCCTGTCTAGAAATCTTCCTTTATCTTCAGTGACTTTAATACTTCAAATCACTGAAAGAGCAGGAAGTTTTTGTGAAAAGCAGGAGTGAGGAACACGCTCATTGTTTGTCCAGTGAGTGCCTTGGATGAACTTTGGTCTCTATGGATCATCTATACACACACATACTTTAATATCACTTGCGGTTTAGGAACCTGATCATGGTTAAGCTGTTTCCACTGTGTTCCTGAGGCAAAAAATTTCCTTCTAAGCCATTAACTTATGTAGGAACTACATTAATGTACCAATGCTGCAAGTTATGGTTTGCAGAACCAGTAAGAAAACCCCTTCCAGTCTTGTGGAGAAAGAATTTCTCAAGGAAGCCTGTAAAGAAGCACCTGTAGAACACATAGGGGAAAGCTCTGACTTGTTTGAAATGATATTTTGACTTCATAGCCTCACATTTAGCAGTGAGATGTGACACTTAGGTGGTGTCCAGGTGGGATCTGAACCGGCTCAGTGAGTCACCAACCAGGTGGAAAAAGTGTCTTTGGGAATCTGCCAACACTGAGAACCTACTATTGAAACACCAGCAATGTCTCTGCAGGCAGATGGCTCAAACAGATTCTTTCAGCCAAACCTCAAGAATATAAATGAAATAAAATCCTACTGAGTAATAATAACACCACTGAAAAGTCTACACTGTTGTTTCTTCATCAGCAGTGATTACATATGTACGTTGTCATGTATTTTCCTTCCCTCGCCTTCAGATTCCACGTTCTGGAATATTTTAGTGATTTCAAGAAACTTGTGAACTGACAAATGGCTTGGGAATATGACAGAGCTATATTTCACATACTTCTGCTATAATTTCATCTCCCAGCAAACTGATCAGGAGCATATGGAGTTCCAGGCACCTTTCTGGCCTCGTTACAAAGAACGGAACCAACCAGATGTTTGAAGTTGAATGAATGTTTTAAAAGTTGGCTAAAGCAGGACTTAAGTTGGGAATTTAATTGACAGTGTGAAGGTCTTGGAATCAGTCCCATGTAGCTCCTGGCACTGTGTATGTAGTGTATAACTCCACATACATAATATGCAAACACATGTGTTTGCACATGTACTCTGGAACATGGACATTCCTGCAGGAATTCAGAGAACATGACCTTTTGAAACAAAAAGGAGAGAAATTGCCATCCATAGCACTGCCAACTTTATGATTTCATCATTAAATATCCACTATAACTCCATGCTTATTCCTTTAAAACTATTACCATGAAAAACTTGTACCCATCCTTCAGAGCCTTTTCCACATCCCTCAACAACAAGTTAATCCTAAAAACAGCTGTTACAGAAAGCCACAGTGAATTTTGGGAATAGGACAACCCAGGGTGGAGCAAGAAGGATGCAAGGAGAGGTTTCTGTATAAATGTTTTTGCTGCCCTGTTGTCTCTGTGTCATTCATAGAATCATTGAATTGTTAAGGTTGGAAAAGACTTCCAAGATCATCAAGTCCAACCTTTTATATTTCAGATTATGGTGGATCTACCAGAAAACTTATAGTTGCCAGAAATGTTGCCTAAGCAGTTTTTTATTATGGGATTTGTCTGATATTGCAAAACTTTGACCTTTCTGAGGTTAATGTTGTGATGTAAAAGAAAGGGCGCAGAGAAGGGAATGTTGAAATCCAATCCCCTCTTTTAGCAGAGGAACCCTCTTCAAACACTTGGAAAGTGAGAAGATGGAAGTATCCCTAAATAAACTTAGAAATCCCTCCTTTATTGCTACATGTTTTTAGTTATTTCAGATGTTATTGCAACATACTGGCATTTTAAATTGACAGGAGAAGGTAATGTCAGTAAATCTCTCTTTTGTGTTGAAGAGATGTACCTAAAAATGTCATTTCTCTAAAGTGATTCCTGGAGAATCTGGGGAGGCTTTGGGAGTTCAGAGTTTCAACATTTTGTGATAAATACTAAGAATTCTGTGCTGAAACAACACCTTCAATTTGACAAGTGAGGAAAACATCCTGAGAAAAACAGGAATTAAGTTTTCAAGTACGTAATTAATTTGCAGCTAAACCTAAATAAACTTGATTGTAATTATTATTATTTACTAATTTGCTTCCAGCTTGCAACTCTGCACTTTCCTAGAAGGGTTTTCTCTTGTTCTTTTCCTCAATCTTGTCTGGCAACAAGAACAATTTCCAGGTAATTTTATACTCATTAGGAACCTGATTTCTCAAAGCAGTGGCAAATTTACTTACTGAGGTGCTCAGGCCAACGTCAGGAGTTATTATTAATGTAAGTAACCTCAGTTACAATAAATCAGTAGCAATATTGAGACTAAAATGAGTTAAAGTATTGTGTGAAACAAGAAGGGAAGGAAACTCACTGCACCACAGCAGTTGGATGAAGCCAAACACAAGCAAATGCTGGGTTGGTTGGTGGGAAAAGAGGCTGGAAAATCACTTTATTCTTTGGAAACTGGTGATGGTTGCAATGGAGGATGATCCATTTACAAGGGCAGATAGCAATAGGATGGGGGAGATGGTTTTAAACTAAAGGAGGGTTGATTTAGATTAGATTAGGGAGAAATTCTTTCCTGTGAGGGTGGTGAGGCCCTGGCACAGGTTGCCCAGAGAAGCTGTGGCTGCCCCATCCTTGGAAGTGTCCAAGGCCAGGTTGGATGGGGTTTGGAGCAACCTGGGATAGCAGAAGTAGAAGCAGATGGTCTTTAAGGTCCTTCCAACCCAACCCATCCTGAGATTCCATGATCCCTGAAGGCAGCAACACCTCCCTGCCCCTCTGCCAGAACCAGCACTGGTCATTTAGGGTCACCCTACATGTGACACAGACTTCAAGAGCTCTCACTCAGCAGCACCCTGAATCCCAGCCTTCCCTGACTCTTCCCTGCTGCTCCCTGCCAAAGAATTCGTTCCCTGTAACTTCTTCCACGTGAATACCCAAAAGCATTTCATGTGTTCCACATTCAATGTGTTCTTGCCTTAAAGTCAGTCCATGGGCAAATGGAGGCTGCACAAACATCAGTGAAACTCAAAAGAGGGTGATTTTTAGCTCACTTCATCAATATTTGTAATTTATTGGGACTCTCTCCGAGTGATTTTTCTTAGTTTTTTGTTTATGGGATTTAAAATGTTACTATAAACTGTCCGATTTAAGATCTCTGCCAGACAAAGCAATGAGGAAAAGTAGTTTTCAAGGTGTTTTCTTTTACATACACTGGCCAGAGAAGCACAGAATAAGATGGATCAGACCCAGTCAAGTTTTGTGATATATTATCCTTATTATAAGGTTAGAAAAATATTTCCCTGTTTCAAGTTCCAACTTGTCCTTGAGTGGTCACCTTGAGCTGATGAAGTGGTCACAATGTAGAAAAATGTTTAGATACTGTGGGATCATTTAAGTTTAAACAATTTAAGTTTTCTTAACTTTTATTATTTATCTTAATATTGAAATGAGAGGCTCTAATTTTCTTTTTGGACCAAACAACCCTGAGTTTGGGATAAAATGACGCTGAAAGGTTTTGTTAACCACATCTTAGCACTGCGCCATGGATCAGCTCCATTAAAAAAAATGAAAGCAGATCTGGCTTTACATCTGAATGAAGAAAATCTGCCACGCTAATGACAGCTTTCATGTTCCCCACGACTTTCAGAGAAACAGATACTTACAGTCTAGAGAACAGTCTCATCAAATTTAGCTCATATTTTACCCATAAACTGTTTAGATTCTCTTTTTATATACTCCCTAATGTTGCTTCAGTGTGTTTTCAAAGGCTTTGCCATGTGCTGGAGTTCTCAAGCAGAATCCAGCTGAGAGGGTTTTTGTGCAGCTGTGGTAGCTCCATCCTCTTCCCTTTGATCTGCTCCCCTGTTTTCCTGTTTTCCAGCAAAGATTGGGAATGCTTGACTGCTCTAATTCTCTTTGCACTTGAAATTGGTTGCACGAGGACCTTTTACAGAATAATGGAATCACTGAGGTTGGAAAAGACCTCAGAGATCATCGAGTCCGACCTGTGACCAATCCCCACCTTGTCAACTCAACCAGAGGTGTTCCTTGGACACCTCCAGGGATGGGGACTCTACCACCTCCCTAGGGGGGCAGTCCCTTCCAAAGCCTGACCACCCTTTCCAGGAAGAAATTCCTCCTGATGTCCAACCTGACCCTTCCCTGGTGCAGTTTGAGGCTGTTTCCTCTCATCCTGTCTCTTGTTACCCAGGAGCTTAAAAAGAGATGAAGCAAAATGTCTTGCCAGGGTGGCCTTGTTTTTGGGGATTACTCCAGAAACATTCCCAGAAATTCTGCCATTGTCCCTTCAATGCCTGCACTGATTTTCCTGCACACACATTACAGGCATCACTAACGACTCCCATGACCTCTTGCTAAAGCTTCCCTTAAATTCAAAGCTACATTTCTCTGTTAAGCCAGGCATTTGGAAGTATTTTACTCACTCACTTAAGGACTGCAGCTGGCATAAGCTCCGGAGGCAGGAATGTCAAACGGGGAAGGAGTTCCAGTCGTAATTTAAATGCGTACGAGACAAGTGGAAGCAGTAAAGCATCTGGAGAACCTAAATGGGGAAATATTTAAACTGATTTGACAGTGTTTTTCACCAGTTTTTCCTTCCATTACTGTTAATGCATGTGGGAAGGTGGTGTTTGTTTATCCTGTTATCACGAGATAACGCATGAGTTGCCATCAGTTTTCAGTACAGTTGCCATCGAGTTACCCTGAAATAACAAATAATAACTCAGGGCCAGATGCTCCTCTCTGGTGAGATAAGGCTGCAAGGTGGGCACAATGCACTTAAAAGCAGTTTGCTTGGACCGTGCCACAGAATATCACCTTCAGGGGCAGAAAAAGTGAGCAGAAGAAGAGATGTTGCCAACAAAAATAAGCTGTAACTTTTCCCCAACCCGTGGAACAAGGACAATGGCTTTAAGGAAAAGAGGACAGATTTAGATTGGATATTGGGAAGAAATTTGGATATTTGGAAGAGGGTGGTGAGGCCCTGGCACGGGTTGCCGATCCCTGGAGGTGTCCAAGTCCAGGTTGGAGCAACTTGGTGTAGTGGAAGGAGTCCCTGCCCATGGAATGAGATGGTCTTTAAGGTCCCTTCCAACCCAGACCATCCTGTGATCCCGTGTTTCCATGAGAATCAGCAGAGGCATGTACCAGCCTATAACACCTCTTCTCCCAACTGGGAATGCTGTGCAGAGCCCAACCCTGCAGCACAATGCTGGGAAAAGGAACCGAGGAGCCAACACCTGGAATGTTACAGGATATGGGCTTGATGAGCTGGGAGTTCTCAGGAGGGACAAACTGAGGAGTTTAATTTGGGCAAGCAGTATGAATACATAATCCATATTATCTCATCCTGCACATTTGGGGGTTTTGGATGACAGATTTTCCCTCATGACTCATGGTACAGTCATTCTGAGTTGGATGGGGATCCCCTCACAGGGCAACATTTTCAAGGGCAGATATTTTATGATTTACATCAATTCCCACAACACACGATGTTCCTTCTTACAGGGCCTCCATGTCCCAACAAACCAAGCCCTGCAAATAACATGGGGTGAAGCACAATCTTCTCAATTACTCTAAAATACTTAATTAACTTTAAAAAAATAGGTCTCATATGCAATATTTGGTCTATTTGGGGCTGTGGCCATCACTGAGAAGTTCCTGGTTTAGGTATTTGTACTACCAAATACATACTGTGGACTGACTCCTGGGTAATATTTCCAGAAAGAATGCAAAATCCCACGGACTTACTGTGGCAGAGGACTGGAAGTGTGTATTCCAGCGGAGTTAATAGGATGAGTCACTGGATCATTTGGTAAAAATATGAATTGTCATCTTGTCACTGACAGAAACACGAAGCTCCCCGGGAAAGCTGCAGGAAATAAAACCCAACAAACAATAACATTCATTTTGAGATCAATGTTAACTACCAGTCACCTGCTGTACATAATAAATGATGCATTACAGCCTGGCAGTCCTGCAGGAATGACAACAGCCTTTCAAGTTGGGAATGATAAGGTAAAAGCAGTGGAAAGGCACCAAAGTGCTTATAAAGACTCTGGGTTTCAGATCCTGCTTAATCCTCAGCAAGGATATTAACAGACTTTTCATTTTCTCTATGGGATTTTGAGTGAGAGTTCAATATTATTAATAGACATGCAAATTAGCAGGGATGTACTGGAATCATTTAAAAAATAGAATGAATAACAACCCAGCAAAATGAAATACTATGAGTTGTGTAGTGGCTTTATATTGCTTCTATAAGAGCAGATGACAGGAAGGTCTTGTTTCAGAGGTTGTTGGTTCATTTACAGTAAGCCCAGGATCACTGTTGCTGGAATTTCCACGTTCCAGTGGCCTGTTGACTGGCTATGCTGGAATTAAATATATTTCTAAATATTCTTGTGCTATCATAAAGACACTTCTTTATATTTGTTTCTCATTTCAAAGACATGCTGACAGCTAGGCAGCCTTTATTAGGCTTTCCTTCAAAGATCTCCCATTCCTGCAAAGTCCACAATACCCACACAAGGTTCCTGGACTATCCCAAGCAGGGCCCTGTCCACTCTATGGTTTGATATCCATGTGAATTTACTCCTTGTTGATGAGAGTTGTGTTCCACAATCTCAGCTTTTATGCTGCAAGCATATATGGCTCTGACTAAAGGTAACTTTGCAAGCATGATTTGAGTGTAAATATCTGCATAATCTGCAAGAAAAGCTGGAATTATAGCCCAAGGAGGTATGCACTGTGTTATTAATTTTATTCAGAATAAGATGGATTTTCCCTCCGTGTTACAGCATTTTTATCCCTGAAAATGCCATTTTGCTGCTGCCAGAAGCACAGCACTTGCTCTGCTCACCCTGTGAGGACCTGGCTGCTGTGCCAGGGCCTGTCTGCAGCTTTCATTTGCTTTCCAGCTCCTGATGGGCTATTAATTGGATGAATGTGTGTTCCCTGAACTTGCTCCCCAAACCCATGCAGTGATGGCTCATATTTGCAGCTGGGAATAAAGGGTTAAGTCTGGCAAGGGCTGAGCTTTGGTCAGCCTGAGAGTGAGAGCCCAGTTAGGCCTTCAATGCCAAAGAAAAGAGGTTCTGGGCTGCTTAGATAAAAGTCTCAGTATGTGGAGTCTGGAAAAGTCAGACAAATCAGTCACTTTACAACAAAGCACAAAATACAAAATTCTTTTTAACGATGAAATATTGTTATTTCTTTCTGTGCAAGGGGGGAAGGTTTAATGGATAGATGATATCCATTAATGGATATATCACCATGATGGAACAGATTAACTCTAGAGCAGAATTAATGGCTTCCTCTGGTGATATTTAGGGGGAGAAAAGAGAGACCTTTATGGCTTTTTTTTGTAGAAGAAGAGCCATTATTATATAATATGTTCATAGAAGCAGCAGCTGAGATTGATGGACTGCTTTGGCTGCTGGGACTTTTTTCCCAACTGCTGCCTTTTATTGGCTCCGTCATCACAGGAAAAAGCGCATCATTCCCTTATTCTACACTCGTGGTTCCCAGGATTTTTCCAACTGAAGAAAAACAAAAATAAAAATTACTCTGTCAAGAATTGTGTTTCAAAGATAGTATTTTCCTGTGCCTGAATTTGAGATGTGAATTGTGACGTGCGACAACAAACTCATTTCCAAGCTTTTTTCCCCTCGTGCCTAACGAGCAAAGGACTCTCCTGAGATCCAGCAGGGTCTGGGAGATGATGTGTGGCTCTGAGGATTTCCCTCCCTGCCTTAAGCACTGCTTGGGAGCACATTCCCAGCTGGTCACTGCCTTTGAGTGTCCCCACTCCCAGGTACCACCATAAGGAATATCAACCCTCAAACCCCTCAAGTGCCCACACCTCGGTGAGCGTGGAAGTTGCTCCAACACCTCGTCAGCTGACCCAGGGCATTCCAAGGTGATTCCCCTCAAACTGGCAGGAATGAGAGCCAAGGATCCAAGAGATCCTTGCCTCCCCCCCTCTCTGCCTGCTTCCCCAAGCAGCACATGATTGCTCTGCTCAGCTCTTCAGACTAATCCCAACATCTGTTTACTCACTCGAGATCCCAGTGACTCAATCCAAAGCTCACTTATCAAAAACTCTCATTATTATGACTAAACCGCAGCAAAAGCAGGCAAGGTAAAGAAAGGAACAATCCTCCTTTCCCATCTATTAACCATCTCCTTAATCATCTCTCCTCTTCAGATGCCGGAGGAAGAGGGATAAGCGATGCCACATGCCATCACAGCCCTGATTCTGGGCTAAATCAGGGGATTAAGGGCATTACAAAGTCAAGGCTCTCCTCAGAAACTCTCCAGAGCCTTCCTCCCCTCATCTACACCAAAGGACAACCATGTAATGTCCCCAAGAACCCGACTTGTGGGACAGCTCTGGTCACTGAACCACGAGAGGACACCTCCAGGATCGCAGTTATGTGTGTTTTGAGAGGGTTCCAACACAACACACATGGCAAATTGAATAGATTCCTCTTTTTTTGCTGATCATACCCAAAAAGGCTTTGCTGGAATCTGCATTCAGTTCCTTCAATCAATGCAATGCCTTTTTTCCCCTCTCTGAATCAGTGCTGAGCCATTGGAGTATCAAGGGTGGGTTTTGATTGTTCATATGGTAATAGAATGGATTTGGAGAGTTTTCCTTGGGAGGAGCCAGAAAACTGAGACAACTGTAACTGGTGTTCCATGAAGGCCTCTCTGCATCACCCTGCTCTGCTCTACATGTCTTAGAAAAGTGTTTGCTATTAGACAATTATCCTGTTTCACTCCAGAAGTATTTTCATTTTATGGCACAAGCCATGAGCTCTGGGCACAGGCTCCAGGTTGATTTATTAAGCATTTTAGGATCCCTTCAAATAAAGGCTCTTCCCCACTGCTACAGCAAGTGGGGAGTTTAAATTGAGTTGGAAAAAACTTCTGGAGCAGGCTGGGCTGGCACTGCCACAGGAATGTGTCTCCCAATTTACTCAAAGATTACTATGTCTTCCACTATTTATTGATATTACTACTTGTGTTTATAATGTTAATATAGAATTCGTATTTTTATGAATTAATTTCCATACTTATATTAGAAAGTTATTCTCTGACTACACAATGCAGCAGTGGGGTTTCATTTTATAGCTGTTTTTCCAATTTTATGAGTTACACTGTAAAAGTGGGGAAAAATAAATGAATTATTCATTATCTTCAAAGTACTCGCTGTACAAGAGTTTACTCTTAATTCTGCCTCAGTAAGAGCCAGGAATCCCCTAGAAAATAGTTTCTTTGATAACTGAAATATTTTCTAGAGTTTGCAGATTAAAAAAATCTGCATAACTAGTCAAACTAGATCAGCAGAAAGGATTGTGACTGCAGCACCAGCACTGCTGCTCTTTGGTGGGGAAGGCAGCACAAAATGTCTCTGTTGACATTATTAGTAAAACACAGAGAGGAGATAAAGCAATGATTAAACCAAAGGAAGAGGCTGAGGCCCTGCAGCAAAGCTGTGTATTCGTGACTTTTCCATCACTATCAATAATTCATAATGACCATCATGCGCATGACGACACCAAGTTTGGGAGAAGGACTGAGTCAAGCTCTCCCCAAATGTGCAAAAACATCCAACGTGACACCGGCTGTCAAGGCGACAGGACCTGCTCGCTAAGCAAAGACCCAGCAGGAAGGGTAATGGAGAAGAAAATCAGCTGATGTTGACATAAATCAACATCTGCTGTACCCATTTGTGGTGGCTCACGGAGGAAAACCCTCCTTTTGGTAATAAGTGCTGAAAGAAACAGTTTTTAGGGCCACAGAAATATCCTGGCTAGAAAAGAACTGAAAGGATGGTTTATCTGTGAGCAATTCTGCAACATGAAGAAACCATGTTCAGTATTATGCTCAAATTTTGCAGCTCTCTGTGTTCTCCCTTTCTGGACCACACTAATTTTGGGAAATAGGTACGTTGTTGATTCCCTGTGGCATCTCAGATTCTGTGCTGATGCTTTGAATAATTATTTTTGCTTGAAGATCGTGGTGGCAAAAGGGAAAAGCCAGACTGTAACTGTCAAAATACTTCTTTTAAAAAAATATTTGAAACCCAAGGACATAAATTCATAGAATCGTGGAATGGTTTGGGTTGGAGGGGACCTAAAAGCCCATTAAGGACCTTAAAGCCCATCCCTGCCATGGGCAGGGACACCTTCCACTAGCCCAGGTTGCTCCAAGCCCTGTCCAACCTGGCCTTGGACACTTCCAGGTATGGGGCAGCCACAGCTTCTCTGGGCAACCTGTGCCAGTGCCAGGAATTGCTTTGGCATAAATGAGAGCAGAACTGGCCTGGTCTGCTCATGGCTGAGCCTCTGACTTCTGTAAGATAAACCTGAGCTCATTTCCACTCCGTGTGGAACATCCCTCATTCCGCATTACCTATAGTTTGGTGGTGAAATTTGATTTGGAATTTGCCTCCAAATCTTGTAGCTGTACATTGACCTTCACCCATTAAAACTAACAGGTTAAACAAAGACATGTAAGATATATATGACATGCAAGACATATCTGTGTCTTAAATCCATAAGACAAGGTCTGTCCCCATATGCAGACAACCATCAGGCTCCTGGGAACTCGGCACTGTCAATAACCTCAGGGTGACCCACCAAGGGCTCCCCAACATGAACAAAAGAGGCAAAGCAGAGCACAAGGTACCAACATTTCACCCCTTGCCATGGCCGAGCACTGATGGCTCAGCCCAAGCCCATCCTGGAGTCTGACATCAGAGCCCAGAACCAGGAAGGCCACGAAACTGCTCCAGATTAGGAGTGTTTTGAAAACACAGGTAGAATTTCATTCCTTCGAGCAGCATTAATTAATGAATGAATTTCCACTGCCAGCCTAAATGCTCCTTAATTGACTCTCCAAAATAACTCAGTCTCAATGTGATCTTTCAAGGAACTTGGTCTACTTATGTCTCCCTGATTTATAGTGGGTTCATAAATTACCAGACTCCACAGTGTCAGCAGCTACTCCCAAACTTGAGCTGCTGATACACCCAGGGGCAGGAATTTAGGGTCAGGCCTTTGCTCACAAGGGTCAACGGTAGACATCTCTCTTTGTGGCAGCTGAATCATTACAGAGCACACAGGAGCTGTATTTCTAACGCCTAATGAGGCAATAAAACTAAATTTACTGTAAAGTTATGCCCAGGATGCACAGCTGGGCAGGGATGGTGTGCAGGCAACACCACCCAGGGGTCAAAGGTCTGCAGCACTGCAAATTAAAGGAGTTATTAGTGTTCTCTTTGAACTGAGCTATGGGAATGCAAGAGGGATAAGGCATAAGGAATAGAAGGTATAATGCAGGCAGCTACTCCCGCTTCACACATCAAGCCCTTATTCCTGACTCCTGGATGCTGCAGGTACGGCACACGGAGGATGAAAGGACGCAAGGGATTGTTTTTATATTTCTGAATGGGACAGACACATCTGACTCTAGTTTAGGGAGAACTCAAGAGCATGAAGCGTGGGAGAGTCCCTGCTCTCAGTCACTTTCATTTATTATTCATTGCTCGGCCTTTAGCGGAGAATTGAACACATCCCCATTCATACACACCTTGCTGCTTTTTATGGGAGCCACGGACAGACTGTCCCTGTTAACGCAGCACATGGAACACAACGTGTGTGAGCCTGCAGAGCCAGCCCTCCTCTTTGAGAGGGAACAATAAATATCATTAAAGATTTGCAGTGGCTTAGCAGATGTTTCAGAGACGCCTGTGGGAGAAGGCAGGGAGCACAGGAGAGTGATTCCTGCGTGGGAAGACACAGAATTCCAGCCCTGAGTTGCACTGCACACAGGCACTTCCTAATAGTTTAGGGCAGAGAATCCCAGCTCGCTGTCGCTGTCACTGTCACCTCCAGGCTGTGACCTCCCCAAAAACACAGATGGTCCTTGCTGAACACCTACAAAAGGCCTAAGTTACCTAAGGTATCATCTTCTACACGGGGTGACAGAGCTACCTAAGCTGTCATCCTCTACACGGGGTGACAGAGCTTCCACCAGCGAATAGGGAATACCACACTCCTACTACTCCTACTATGGATGTGGTGAGGCAGGGCTTGCCCAAATCCAGGGAGTTTTTAGGATTCGTGCAAAGGAACACCCCAGCGAGACAGAACTCACGTGCAGCGAGACACAGACACACACACACACCCCGCGGCACCGCCAGCTCGCCAAACCGCCCTCTTTGTAAGTTTACCCCCGAAGTTTGTGAGGAAAACGCCTTACGGGGAGAGGAGAAAGGCCCGAGCCGAGCGCTCCGGGGCTCGCCAAGTTTTCTAACCGAGACCAACCGCTCCCGCAACGGCCCCGCCCGCCCCGGCCCCGCAGCTCCGGGGGCACCGCGGGCACCGCGACCCCGCCCGGGGGGACCCGCGGGGACGGGGCGGGGGCAGTGGGGGACACTCACCGTGCTGAGCCCCGGGTGCTCCCCGCGCTGCCCCCGCCGAGCCGGGGCCGCCGCTGTCCGGGGCCGCCGCTGCCGGGGCCGCCGAGCCGGGGCCGCCGCTGTCCGCGGCCGCGCTGGTGCTGAAGCGGCCGCCCTGCCCCGCCCTCCGCCCGCCCCCGCGGAGCGCAACGCGGCCGCCATGGCAACGGGAGCGGGGGGGCCGCGCCCGCCGCCGCCGCCTCACGGGGCCCCGCCACAGAGACCCCCCCCCGAGCCCGCAGCCCCTGCACGGCCCTCGGAGGAGGGTCCGAGCCACAGACCTGCCCCGGGGCCGTTGTTCGTCACACCGGCGCGGCCACCGCCGCTCCCACACCGGGAGGTGGCGGCCACCGGCCGCCGCCCCTCACCTGCAGCCCCCCCCCGACCGCCGCCCCTGCCGGATACGCCCGGTGGAGGGCACAGAACCGTAGAATCGTGGAATCGTGGGGTCATAGCATCGCGGAATAATAACATCATGGGGTCACGGGATCGCGGGATCAAGGAATCGTTAAATTATGGAATCACAGAATCATAAAATCAAGGCATCAAGGAATCATAAAATCAAGGGAATTGTTTCAGCTGGAAAAGCTCTCATCGAGTCCAGCTGTTCCCCCAGCACTGCCAAGCCCACCACTAACCCATGTCCCCAGCTGCCACATCCACACAGCTGTAAAATTCCCCCATGGATGGGGACTGAGTTCAGGAAGCATTTGGACAATGCTCTCAGACACAGGGTGGGATTGTTGGGGTGTCCTGTGCAGGGCCAGGAGTGGGACTGGATGATCCTTGTGGGTCCCTTCCATTTCATAATATTCTATGATTCCACCACTGTCTTAGGCAGTCTGTTCTAATGCTTTAACAAACCTTTCCATGAAAAAATTGCTCCTAATATCCAACCTGAACCTTCCCCAGTGCAACTTCAGGTCCTGTCAGCCTGGGCAAAGAGGGTCCCGCTCAGTTGGTGGCAAATGGTTTCATCCTCTGGTGATCCAGTTCTCAGATCCCAAGAAGAGTCAGAACTAAACTTGTTTGGTTTTGAGATTCTTCCTGCACAAACAGTCTGTGGTTTTCGCCTCACTATTTTTTAGAATCCTGGAATGATTTGGGTTGGAAGGGACCTTAAAGCCCAGCTCATCCCATCCCTGCTATGGGTAGGGACACTTTCCACTATCCCAGGTTGCTCCAAGCGCCGTCCAACCTGGCCTTGGACACTTCCAGAGATGGAGCAGCCACAGCTTTTCTGGGCAAGACACAGGCACAGGATGTAATTGCCAAGGGGATCTAAACAAGGAAATCTACATTTCAGGGATGCATTAAGGATTGTAAGGATTAAGATTGAGGATTAAGATGATTAAACTGATAACAGTGACATGAGCACCTGCAGTTTGGCCACTCAACCCCCCAAATTCTGCCTTACCTGCAGCACAGCCCTTCTCACAGTGATAGAGAATCACTTGGCTGCTCTGTCACTTCAGCTCTGGGCCCAGGATCTCCTCTACTGTGGTGTCCTGCTGGAAACATTCCCTGTGCTCCTTCATGTGCAATATGTGATGTCACAGACTCAGTTCTGGTTCTAAGCATCTGACTTACAAAACCAGGCTGGGTATCTAAAAATTATTATCTTTGATCAATTACTTCACTGGATGGATGGAATAAAACCCTGCCCAGGGTGAGGTTATGTCATTTGTGCCATTTTTGGTCATTTCCATTCCACTATAACACTAAATACTTTACATTTGCTGCTGTGGGGTGTCTAAGTTTGCTTAGACACAGATCTAAAAGGAGAGATAATTTACTTAACTGTTCTGAGAAAATATGCCACATGGGTAAGGCATGATTACTTCTGAAAAAAGTGCAGATTTAGTACTACGGTGACTCATAACAATGAGCAAAAAAAGGTTAAGAAAGTATTTTAAACTGCATTTTATCATAGGGAAATATATAATAACCTTAAATAGCCATGTCTGTACTTGACCTTCCAGCACCCACGTACTTCTAGGCTGGCTCTGGGGTATTACACCAGAGCAGGATATTAACCTTTTATCCTAAAAGAATCCACGGCAAGGAAATACGACCCTTGTTGAACATAAAAATCCCCAAACCAGCTGTTATTCTTTAGGGCCCTTAAAAATATCTTCAGTGTCTCTTTCCTCTTGGGAACAGTTTTATGATGGAGCAATTGCAGCGATTACAAAGCACTTCACGATTAAAGAATCCCACTTGTGAGACGACTTCATTTTGTGCCATAAACACTGAGTTAGTTTCTGTTACTTGATATTCCTAGCTGTGAAAAGTATTTCTATTTAAATTACTTTATATTGTTATATTAGCTGATTGTTTCTTTTGTTTGTTATTTCTTTGTTTATTATTATATTAATTTATCTTCCTAGTTCACAAATCAAGAAAAAGAGTTGATGAGACTTTTGAAATCCTCATAAACTCCAACACAAACAAATTCTCAGTTCCAATAAGTGTATTTTCCAGTTTCCTGATCCTGGGCCACCACAGCCAAGACAGAGGGAGCCCAGTGGCCCTGGACACACAGAATTGCTGGAGAGAGGGACAGGACAGGAGCTGCACACTCAGCCTGTGCCAGGATGAAGCCCATGGCTTGCCCAACCATTACACATAGCTATTGAATGATTAATTGGGCAAATTAATTAGTTAATGGTCCTCCTGCACTTGGAAAACAGTGAATTACTTCAGAAAAGCTACATATCTTCCTTTTTTTTTTTACTCTTTAGGAAGCTGCAGCACCACAGCATGGCTGGGTGAGGGAATAAGTGTTTAGTATACAGAGAAAAGCTCATGTTGATGGGTGATAAACCTAATTTAATGTCAGGCAGGGAGGGCTGGATTTTCTTGGAATTATGCCTTCACCTCTCTGCGCATTTTCAGGGAGGCAGATGCAAATCTGTGCCATCGTGACGTCACCAGGCTGCTGGGACTGGCCATGGGCAGGTCAGGGACACCAGCACAGGGCTGGCAGCACCATATTCTCCAAGAGGAAATGTGGGAGAAGGAGAAGGACATCTGTCTGATGACATCCCAGGGCCACTGAGGTTGCTGGGACTTCTGCTCCTGAGTTCAGTAAAGCTGGGCTTTCACCCAGCTCACTTTGTTTGGTTTGGAAATGAGGATTTTAAAGGAAACCTCTAAGGCCAGGTATCCTCTGCCGATGTACAAGATACGCTCCCTAAACCTGGACTCTTGCTGCCTCCTCCTGCTTTGGCCCTAATTCCAGAAAGCACTTAATATATCCATAAATACATTTCCAGCTGGCCAAGCTCTTGAGCAAACACCTAGTTTAAAGATTTGCTTATCTGTAATTCACTGGTGAAGAAGCGAGGTATTACTCAAAAGGAGTCAAAAGGCATAATCTGGCTGTATCATTTCTATCATTTATAACCAGAGCTTAGTCATCTTTTGACCAGTGACGCACAGCACTGATTTCTTGCTGAATAAAATTGTAGAAGCACAGCCAATTTTTCACAGAGCTTGGAACTGTGCCCTTTGTCAGGTTTTATGAATGCAGAGCTCAAGGTCCATAGTATGCTGTGGATAACCCGACGCAAGGTCACGTTTTGCTGGAATAGCAGCACCTAAATCCTCCAGGGCGACAACAGGATCCGGCCCTGCTTGGAGATTTTATCAAATTTCACAGGGATTTGGATGTGCAGAACAAGCTGAAACTGTGAGAGCAATAAAGGCAGTTGTAAAACGCTGAAGATTACCGAGCTTGGACCTGTAAAGGTCAGATCCTGATCTACACTCCCCCAATTCTCACATGTATTTAGATCTCAGATACCCTGGGCGTTCAGCTCTGCGCTCTGCAGTTCAGCGAGGCGGAAGAAAATCAGCTTTACCTTTGGAAAATTCCAGTGCAGGGCTGTGTTTTCCTTCCCAAACTCCAGAATTTTGTGTCATGAATGATTCATATTCTGCCTCAGAGGAAATCACCTCAGAAAACACAGTCCCCATGGCCTTAACTTTGAGCATGAGTTTTGAGACAACATGAGGGTGGGTAAAAGTGCATTTTCCAGGTGAAATGGGCATTCACTTTTGCACACACAAAGAGATATGTATGGAATTTTCCTTTCCAGCCCACCAGGGTGAAGCCAGATTGCACACATGACTGTCAGAGCACTGTAAGCTCTTCCTCTCATCACCAGGCACCTTGGATTGAGCCCTTGGCCAGGATTCAGAAGGAATTTATGTCCAATTTAGTAGCCACAGTGGGAAAGTCAGGTGTCACTGAATAAAAGTGCTGAGAACCATTTGCTGTGCAAACTTACCTTCAAGAAATTCCAAGAAGCCCGTTGAGGTCAGGGGGTTTATAGCTTCTGCTGCCATTTATGGAGTTTTACTCTTAAATGTGAAGAGACTTGTTGAGTTTTTGTATTGCCTGAATCTAGAAGTGGAGAATGTTTTGATTCATCCAAAGAAACTCTCTGAAGACAGAAAGAAATTCAGGTTTTTTTCTGCCGTCGGTGCTCAGAATGAAAATGAATCAAAAAAATCAAACCCTTGAGATTAGTCAGAATTAGCTCTTTTCCTATACTGGTCTGTATGAAATGATTTCTTGATTTTGACCAGAGAGGAAAAAGTTAAAAAGCACAAAACAAGCTATAAAAATGACCATTAAAACATTTCCTCAGGAAATCTGTTTAAATGCTGATGTCATTTTCTACAGTCACCACTTCAATTTAACTGTGTGAAACTAGAAAGGCACGAGGACAGGAAGGTTTGATGATGGGGTGGCAGAGACACTGTGAGACACATCGAAGGGGTAATGACGTGCAAGGGGTGGCAAGAAGACCCTGCTCCCAGATGAGCAGTCTGAGGGAAGAGGTGTCTCCCTACTCTGGAATTTGAGGTGGATCCTGGGACGTGGTTTGGGTTGGAAGAGACCTTTTGAAGATCATGTCATTCCAAGCTCCCTGCCATGAATGTTCAGCGAGCTTTGCTCCAGGTGTCCAGGTTTGGAGGAGCTCACTTAAGCATAGAATTTAAACAGAGCTTTAGCAGTCCAACAGGGAAAGGCTGCAGAAAATCCACTTGGTATCGTGACTTTGTATTGGAGTGAAGAAGAGGTCTCTAATTCAAGCCACAGATTGGTGAAGGTCAGTTTATTGGAAAGCTGAGGGAAAGATATGGCCTCATAAATCTGGTTATACTTCCAAAAATATACCCCTGGAACATCAGATGCTGCTGGGAACACACATAGTACAGCACAGTGCTCAGCAAAGCATGTTAACCTAATTTCAGCCTTACATGAAAGAAGAAAACCCTGAGTCATATTTTATGAAAATTGTTATGGTGAATCAGCAAATTACTTCTGTTAATCTCCTCCAACGTCAGCACGCTGAAGTCTGGAGCAACTTGAACTAATCCCAGGGCACTTGTAAATAGAATGTATTCAGGCCAGCTGAAGCTGGGCTAAATGGGAACAAGCAGTAATTTGTCATCAATGGACAGCTGGGAAGCTCAGAAAAATTCTATTTCCTGACTGTCTGGTCAGAAGGAAAGACAAGTTCTGTGCATGCCCTTCACCTCTGACTCCTGTATCAGATCCCAAATAAAAATGTTTACACTTCAGAAATGTGTGGCTGCTTTAAAAAGATCTGCTGGTGGGTTTATATATGTGCCTGTTTACACATATCCCTGTGGTGGTAGGAAGAAAATAAAAGTGCACAGAAATCTATAACCTGATCTGGTTTGTTTAGCTCCTGATCCAATCTTCTCTCCTAGTAAAGCCCCAGTAATTTGATTGTGTGTGTAGGGCGCTCGGGAGTACCTGAGGGATGAGAATGAAATACTGTAGATGAGCAGAGAAGCTGCTGAAATGCCTTCCTGCATCAGTGCTCCAACTACATCAGGAAATTTCTGCAGCACACCCTTAGACCCAGGTGATGACACACAAACTGGGGAAGCGTTCCATATTTTTTTTGTCAGGCACTGGAAGGGGCTGCCCAGGGAGGAGGTGGAGTCCCCATCCCTGGAGGTGTCCAAGGAATGACTGGCCGTGGCACTCAGTGCTCTGGGCTGGGTGACAAGGTGGGGATCGGGCACAGGTTGGGCTCGATGGGCTGGGAGGGCTTTTCCACAATAATGATTCCATGATCTCCTGCTGTAGGGCTTTTCCAGCCATCCCGGATCCCAGGAGGGTGCATGGACGGCAGCAGCACCGTATCCCTGCTTAGGGGCTGTTCCCACCCAGGGGACCTTCTGCTGCCTGGCCAAGGCACTTCAGATGCCACTGAAAGCAGCAATGTCCCCAGCTGGGGTCACACCTGGGTGCACACCTTGCTGTAGATTTGCTGCAGTTGTTGGTGCTGTTTTAACAGCATCAGCTGCCTGTAAATTCACATTATCCACTGACAGATTTCTCCTGCAACAAAACAGATCCTTGAGCACTGCAGGCTGTCATACCGTGTCAACCTTTGGCTGTCCTCTGGCACAAAGATTAGGAGCGAGACTAAAGGTCCTGTAAAAATACCTCAAGGACCATGATTTGTGAAGAAAGATCAG